ATATATAATCATTTTGAAATAAATATAATATAAGAAGTTCATCATTATTTTATAGTATTATATATAACTGACAAATGTGTATTTTTAAAAAATATTACTTATGTTTGAATAATATTGTAAGTACTTTATGTTAATATATTTCTGAATTTGAATGTAAACGTGATAAAGAAGGGAATAAGGGATTACTTAATAAATGTTTTTTTTTTGTTTTTTGTTTTTTTTTTTACAATTAATATACAATAATTATTGATATATTATGCATTGTAGCAAACATTAAACAAATAACATTTGAATCAAATATAATATATAAAGTAACTTTAATATTGGTCCCTAAATAAAAGTTCTCTTTGATAAAGAGCACTGTTAAAAATCAAATGGCACTATCTACATTTGTATTAATATGTTAAAACACAGTAAATGAAGGTTTTTGTAACAACTTTGAATGAAATAAACATATTCTCATTTTAATAACTATTTGCCTTATATCATTTTTTTTTTCTTTTTTTTTTCATTCCTTATGTATATCTTGTTCTTTTCATATCTTAAAACTTGTATAGGATAATTAAATGACATAACAATTTCTATTTATTTGATATAATAATCTATAAATTTAAATAAATAAAGCAATAATTGTCTTTGGTATGAAACCTAATGAATGAGTGTAGAAACGTTTAACTTATATATGAACTCATAAATGCTAGAGAGAGAACAAGAAAATAAGTATAAAATAAAATAGCTTAAAATAAAAGATAATATATAATAAGAATTATGGCATTTATGTGATATGTACTATTCTTGAATGTTCCATGTTTTTATGCTTTCTTTCTTTTTTTTCTTTTGTTTGAGTTGCAAAAAAAAAAAATTGATTTTTATTATTTTTCTTGTTTCACAAACGTATCAGTATTCAATTGAAATAATAACAAATGTTTAATTGGCACTAAAATTCTTCAAGGAAGATTCATGTTCATGAATTTACGTAGGACGGTTCCTATCAAATTACAACGATTATAATATTATCTTAAATTAGAGCTAAAAACTTTCTTTGTTTTTATGTTTATGTAAATTATCAATGTTTCACTAAACAATATGTTATATAAATTGTACAAGTACAAAATATACATAATATATTTCTTAATTATCTTATCATCACATCAAGATTTTTGAATTATTATAACATTTATAACATTGAACAATTGTTAATGTATTAATTAATAAAGCTATTCAAAATAACAAATCTCCTGACGTGTATATTTAACTTTCGGTTTATTTTGTAAAGTTATTGTATGTGTCGATTGTAAAAATTGATAGAAAAAAAATGTACACGTGTCTATTAATTTTTTTTCTTTTTCTTTTTTTTTTTTTTTTACCAAACATTATTAAATATCATCTCTCAAAAAACTATTTTAAAAAATCTATATCAAAATTTATTCTTGTGTTGTATAAAGACTGAAATATATAATATTATTATAGATTATTTATTTCGAATATTTGTCATGAATATTAAATATATCTTATTGCGCGTATAAAAAACAAAATCTTATTATATTAACTATTCCTCTCAATATCATAAAGGTAATAGTTTATTTTCATTCCTAATAATAATAATTCGCCAGTTTGTTTGTTTTTTTTTGTCTTTTTGTCTTTGTTTTTTTATATCGTTTTATAGATTCATCTAGATTATTTCTATATTATAGTTATAAACGAGAAATACTAAATGTTTGTGACTAATTGTGATTAATTTGATATAATATTAAAAAAAAAAAAAAAAAAATAAATCAATTTACTCTTTTAATACGAAAAACGAATTATTTGCATTTTACGATAAGCTTCGTATCATCAATATCTACTAAGGAGATAATGCAATATTATTCTGTATATTTATATATATATACTGTTATCCAATCACTAGCATGCAGATAAGAATTTAAAGAAAATAATAAAAAGATAAATATGTCATGCTGGAGAATTATCTTGAATTAAATTGTCTACAATCCCACTTGTTGAAATTAATGAATTCTTTAATCCATGAGCAGGTCTTTTTGGTTTTGGTGGTGGTGTTGGTGGTTTAGTTTGATTCTCAACATCATCGTTATTATCGGTAGGCGTTGGAAGTTTATTCTTTATTCGTTGTCCAAACGATTTGTTTATATTATTAGAATTATCCGTTATAGATGAGATACGTTGTTGATCATTATTAAATTCTTCTGGCAAATTGCAATAATCTGCTTCACGAGTTTTCATTGGGAGAGGTGGAGGTGCATCATCTTCTGATGCAGTACTATCGGTTGTTCCAACGCTATCTCTATTATTTTCTCTTCCAAATACACTTGTCTCTGAACCATTGTGCGTATTTCTTAAATAATGTTGCGATTGTCCAGACCAACGATTACTTATTCTTCGTTCTTTTTCCACTTCTGACCTCAGTGGTCGTTTTGACGTTAGCTATTTTATATATATATATATATATATTATAATCTTAATAAAAATGAATTCAAATAAAATCAAATAAATAATAAAAATATCTTTAAATGTAACAATCAATTAGATTGTATGCATAATAAACCCTTGTTTGTATATTACAAAGGAAAAAAATAATAAATAGAAATTGTATCTTTTACCTCTTGACGAAGTTCGAATATCGGTGTACTAGGAAAAGATGGTACCAATGATGTAGTTGATACAGCCATACTAATCTGAGAAATTTCAGCAGGTATGGTGTACCATTGACTCGTAGGTTGATCATTTTTTGTTACTGCAGATGAATCACTTTTACGTGCACTTCTTCTTTTAGATTCCTTCTTTTTGTTTGTGCCAGGGCTTGGATTACCTAATGCCTTTTGTAATGAAGCTGATGATAAGATATGTGAACGTATTGAACTAGTCCTGTAAAATGAGATTATTTATAATTATATATATAATAATCATATATCTTTATTTATAAACAATTTTATAAAACTTACTCTACATTATTTATGCTAGTTTCTAATAAAGAATAACTTTCATTTCTGAATGCTTGTGCTCTTCGCATAGTCACTCCTTGTGTCATAGTTTCAATTTGAAGGTCACAAGTCTGTTATAAATAATTCATTCAATTAATATTTTATTTGATGTTATTACTTTATAAAGATTTTCATAATTATATCATTAAATTAAAAACTTACTCTTTTGCCATATTTAGCTTCTACTTGACTTTTCATAGACATAAAACACTGTTCCAATCTTTGATGAAATGGCGCTAATTCAGAAGGAGCACGAGCTTTATGTATTTGTACACCAACACCTAAAAGTGGAATTTGTTCTGCTATCAAACTTTCCAATTTAAGTAAATCTGAACTTTCTTCTGAGTGGGATTCTTTATAATCAACATTAAGAAAAGCTTTTTCATAATTATCAATGCCACCCATCACTGCTGGATCCAATACTCCATTTAATTTCATACTTAAAGGATTTAATGGAAGACTAGGATCAGTTCTGTATCAAAGATATTCAAATATTATTATAATGTTAATTCAATTAATTTATATATATATATAATGAAATAATTCATACCTATGTGCAACTATGAGATCTCTAAGTGCTGTATTTGTAGCTTCCATAGTTTCTATTGCATTACGAAGCGGGCTTACTAAATAAGTGTCATGAGATATAACAGGAAACCATCTAAGGATTCCTGGCAATGGATGACTTGTAACAAGAACAGTTCTTTCCAACCATAATGAAGCAAACTCATTATTATTAACACTTGTTCCATCTTTCTCTTTATCACCAACATTAGGTCTTGGTCTCGAGAATCGAAAACGTTGAACATCGTTTACTCGGTGATACCTAATCAATAAAGGTTGTTTTTATTTAAAAACAATACAATTTTGTTACATAATTTGATTAAAACTTTAACCTTTACCTTAAAACAGCATCAGCTGTTACAGGTTTTCCACTTAAACGATGTTTCTTTTCATCCATTAATGGTTCTACTTTATTAATTTGAACATACTGATGACTAGAGTCTAAAATATCAGCAGTTGGCGGAGATAATTTGTTCATTTGCTCTGCATTTGGTAACTGATTGAGTGTTCTTGAAGAAAAATCACTGAGTCGTTCGTATTCTTTCCCACGATAAATGAAAACCTGTAATGATATGTAATATGTAACAAAATAAACAAGTTCTACATATAACGAGATAAAAGACAAATATTTTATAAGTGCATACTTTATTTTGTAGGAAAGGAGGATGTCCACGACCATAATAAGCAACTCTAAAATATTCTGGCTCAGGTCTTAGTTGTTTGACTATACAATCATAAAATTTGGCCATTCGTCTTAATAAAATGGATAATTGTAAATAATCAAACGTCTCTTCTTCATATTGTGCAACTAATTCTTTGCAAACACTAAGAGCACATTCCCACATTTTTCCTTTGTCAAAATATTCAATCATATCGTTGTACAAAGCTTCTTTCAATTCTCTATGAGTTTGACATGATGGATATCTAAAATAACAAAATATAATTGTATTATTATTATTATTATTTTGAACAATTTTAATAGATTATTAATAATAAACTGATCAAAAGAATAAATAGATTTTATACCTGTGAGATATTAAAAGTGGTGGTAAAGGTTGATCACTCCAATCTAGTAATAAACTATGAAGCTTTAATGTGTATGCTGCTTCTGTATAATTATCGCATTCTAAATGAAGTTCGCATAATTTGTTGACATATCTATAATATAGAACATTTTGTTTTTAATATCAGTTAAGAAATGTAGTTACATAAATGCATCACAAATGTACAATATATATATATAGGATAAAAAATATATCATATTTGTTTTTGTATCTTATATTAAAGATAAATGTTCTCGTATACATACCTGATATACATTTCTTTCCTATTTATTTCCGAATAAAATTCTAATAAATTAACGGTACAGAGCATTCGATGTTCCTGAGATTCAGCATGAATAATATCA